TGGGATTACAGGCGCCCACCACCACACCCGGCTAATTTTGTGTTTTTAGTAGAGATGGGGTTTCACCATGTTGGCCAGTCTGGTCTTCAACTCCTGACCTCGGGTAATCCACCCGCCTCAGCCTCCCAAAGTGCTGGGATTACAGGCAGCACGATGCCCGGCTTATGGAAAATTTTAAAGTTATTTTCTGTGGGTAGCACGGGTGCCAGCTTTCCTTTACTTGATGAGACTGAGTGTCCCTTCCTGCAGATCACGTGGGGCAGAGCAAAAACAAAACAAACAAACAAAAAGAAGCAGACACTGAGTGTCCTTTGGAAATCAATGTAAGTTTCGTTAAAAATGATGTAAAGGGCCGGGCTGGTGACTCACGCCTGTCATCCCAGCATTTTGGGAGGCCGAGGCAAGTGGATCACGAGGTCAGGAGATCGATACTATCCTGGCCAAAGTGGCGAAACCCCATCTGCACTAAAAATACAAAAATCAGCTGGGCATGCTGGCCCGTGCCTATAATCCCAGCTACTCAGGAGTCTCAGGCAGGAGAATTGCTTGAATCAGGGAGTGAGAGGTTACAGGGAGCCGAGATTGTGCCATTTCCCTCCAGGCTGGGTGACAGAGTGAGACTCCATCTCAAAAAAACAAAACAAAACAAAACAAAAGAAGCAAGATATAAAGACAAATAAAGGCTGGGCATGTTGGCTCACACCTGTAATCCCAGCACTTTGGGAGCCTGAGGAGCGCGGATCACCTGAGGTCAGGAGTTCGAGACCAGCCTAGCCAACATGGCTAAACCCCGTCTCTACTAAAAATACAAAAATTAGCCAGGTGTGGTGGCAGGCACCTCTAATCCCAGCTACTCCAGACGCTGAAGTAGGATAATTGTTTGAACCCGGGAGGCAGAGGATGCAGTGAGCTGAGATCACACCACTGCACTCCAGCCTGGAAATCAGACCAAGAATCTGTCTCAAAAAATAAAATAAATTCAAAATAATGTCTTGGCCTGGTGTGGTGGCTCATGCCTGTTAATCCCAGCATTTGGGAGGCTGAGGTGGGCAGATCACCTGCGGTCAGGAGTTTGAGACCAGCTTAGTCAACATGGTAAAACCCCAACTCTACTAAAAATACAAAAAATTGGCTGCGCACGGTGGCTCACGCCTGTAATCCCAGCACTTTAGGAGGCCGAGACAGGTGGATCATGAGGTCAACAGATCAAGACCATCATAGCAAAACCCTGTCTCTAACCCTGTCTCTACTAAAGATACAAAAAAAATTAGTTGGGCGTCCCAGCTACTCGGGAGGCTGAGGCAGGAGAATCACTTGAACCTGGGAGGTGGAGGTTGCAGTGAACCGAGATCATACCACCGCATTCCAGCCTGGGTGGCAGAGCAAGACTCCATCTCAAAAAATAATAATAATAAAAGAAACAATAAAATCTTTTTTTAAAAAGCCCTTCCCATTGCAATTTTGCCATATTCAGCCACATAGCTTCTGGACCAAGATGTACTTAATATTTGCCCTTTAAAAAATGTTTGAGAGGCAGAGTCTTCCTCTGTCACCCAGATTGAAGTGCAGTGGCATGATCATAGCTCACTGCAGCCTTGACCTCTTGTTCCCAAGCAGTCCTCCTGCCCCAGCCTCCTGAGTAGCTGGGACTACAGGTACAAGCCATCATACCTGGTTAATTTTTTTTTTTTTTTTTGAGACAAAGTCTCGCTCTTGTCCCCCAGGCTGGAGTGCAATGAGCGTCCAGACCTGGCTCTAAGCTGTGGTGAATGGTTCAAGTTCACTGTTATCACTCTCACGATTCGTTTGTCCATTCAAGCTGTATTTATTGAGCAGCTGCTGGGAATCAGGCATGGTGCTGGGTGCTGGAATAAGGCACAGAAATCGCTGCCCTCATGGGGCTCACAGTCTCGGGGGCAAGATGGATGGTAAATCAGATGAATGGGTTACTTGAGGACCCTTTGGTGATGGGCAAGACAGAATAAAGGGGCGGGACGTGTAAGAAGCTTGGAATTTTCCATCAGAGACAGGACAGGCTACTGAGGTGATATTGAAGCAGAGAGCCAGAGAGGGTGAGGGAGGAGCCATGGGGGGTATCCCAGGAAGGGCTCGTCAGACAGAGGGCACAGCCGGGACAAAGGCCCCAAGATGGGACCATGCCTTGTGTGTTTGAGGGAGGAGGCCGGTGTGGCTGGAGCAGAGTAATTGAGGCGGGGAGAAGGGGAGGGCAGGGAAGTGATCGGGGCTGATCAAGCCCTGCCTGTCGCTGCTGTGAGGACCTGAGCAGACAGGGGACGTGCGTGACCCAGATCAAGCATCCACAAGTTCCTCTGGTCACTGTTGGGGAACAGACTGGGGGACAAGGGCAGGAGCTGGGGACCAGGGCAGAGGGGACTGCACTAGTCCAAGCAATCATGGGGGCTTTGGTGCCTCCGTCTCTGAAAAGTTGGAGTCTTGCAGGCTGGCAGCAGGGACCAGAGCTGGATGAATCCTGGTTGTGGATGGAGTCTGGGGCCAGGGCCAGGGGCCAGGGCCAGGGACCCGAGCCAACCAAGGAACGTGAGGCCGCTCGGGCCCCAGGGAAGAGCCGGGGAAGGAAGGGAGAGGACCAGCGGAAGCAGGACTTGGCCGCAGCCCCCTCCTCCCCCAGCAGGAAACAGCCTCTGTGCCGACCCCTGACCCCTTGCAGGAACCTCTGCCAGGCCCAGGAGGGGGAGGGCATTCCAGACAGCTCGTGCAAAGGCAGTGGGGCCTGGGGGGGGTGCGGAAGCGGTGTGATGGCTCTTGGAATTGTTGAGACTTTGGCAATATAGGAGTCCCCGATGGGGAGGCCTAGCAGGGGCAGAGGGGTGGAGCCCTGAATGCCATGTGGAAGGCTTGGGCTTTATCCTGAGGGCACTGGGGAGCCATGGAGGACATGTGAGCAGGAGCAGGGTCATTTCTGGGTAGACAAAAGAGGGAGACTGAAGCCTTGCCTTGGGGACCAGCGTAGGGGTCTGGAGGAGCAGAAGCTTTGGGGTAAATTCTCACTATCCCCAGAACGTTGGAGTCAAACAAGCTGCAGCAGAGGCTTGGAGTGAAGTGGCCACTCTGAACCTCAGTCTCTTCATCTGTATAATAGAGAGGAACACACCTCAGTCTCACCATCCTGGGGAGGTTCAACACGTGAGAGTCTCGTGGGGAGGCTGAACTCGAAGGAGCTCTCAGGTCCTGAGGGACAAGTAGGGGCCCAGGGTGGGAGGAGGCAGGGCCAGGGTCCCCAGGATGTTGTGCCCCCGCTGAGGACGAGCCTCCAAGGCCCGGCCGAGGTCTGCCCTTCCCTCTGTCTGACCCACTATTGTGTCACCATCCCCTTCCTGCCCTAGTGGCTGAGGAGGCTCCAGGCCTGAGGACCGAGGGGTGGCACGACTCAGCGGTCTGCGAAGGATGCAGTGAGATGCTCGCGGCGCCCGCCCCAATCCCCTCCTGCCGCCACCCGCCACCCGCCACCCATGGCCACCATCAGACAACTTCCTGCATGCAGACCCCCAGTACTCTCTCACACCCGCACCTGCGCCTCATGATCCCTCGCCCAGAGCACATGGCCGTGGAGATGACGTCACGCGGGCCGTGGCGATGATGTCACACGTCCCCTGGGTGATGGCGTCACACGTCCCCGGTGTGGTGACGTCACATGTCCCCGGGGTGATGGCGTCACGCGTCCCCGGTGTGGTGACGTCACACGTCCTCGGGGTGATGGCGTCACGCAGCCGTGTAGACGTCACGCACAGATATAGTGATGGCACCACGTGGATGTACTACGTGGTGCACAGACATGGGGAACTTGGAGATGCAGCGATGACGTCACGGGCCGTGTTGACGTCACGTGTCATGACAACGTCACACAGACGCAGCGATGGCATCACACAGACGGTGATGATGTCACACACAGACAGTGACAATTTCACATACACCACAACAACGTCACATATAGATATGGCACCAACATCACATACACAACATGTCCTTCCACACACACTTTCTGCCCAGTCCTCACCTAATGTCACATCCCCCCGCCCCTGGCACCCGGGCCAAGGTACCCGTAGCCTCCCTGGGCCCCAGCACCTCCCCTTCCCCAGCTTCCTTAACTCCCAGCACTTCCTCGCCCGCAGTGCCTGGCCCCGGAGGTGAGAACAGGGAGCCGTTCACCTCTGCACCCTGAGCGTGAGCGTTTCCAGACCTCTTTTGGGGCCCTGATCCCAGGGTGAGGGACACCTGCTGTCCGGAGGGGAGCCACCCTTTCTCCCCCCACTCCCAGCCCTGCCTCTGGCCCCTTTGAAATATTGGTGGCATTTAATAAATGTTAGTAAATCCTTCAAAGACTCCAGAGAGATGATTTCTGCTCTTTTTTTTTTTTTGAGCTGGAGTCTCGGTCTGTCGTTGCCCAAGCTGGAGTGCAATAGCATGATTTTGGCTCATTGCAACCTCCGCTTCACGGGTTCAAGCGATTCTCCTGCCTCAGCCTCCTGAATAGCTGGGATTACAGGCATGTGCCACCATGCCTGGCTAATTTTTTTTTTATTTTTAGTAGAAACAGGGAGGGTTTCATCACATTGGTCAGGCTGGTCTTGAACTCCTGATGTCGTGATCTGCCTGCCTCGGCCTCCCACGCCTGGCCATGATTTCTGCTTTTAAAAGTACCACATGGTTGCCAGGCGCCAGTGGCTCCTGCCTGCAATCCCAGCGAGTCAGGGGTTCGAGACCAGCCTGACCAACATGGTAAAACCACATCTCTACTTAAAATACAAAAATTAGCTGGGCATGGTGGCACACACCTGTAATCCCAGCTACTCAGGAGGCTGAAGCAGGAGAATCTCTTGAACTCGGGAGGTGGAGGCTACAGTGAGCTGAGACTGAGCCACTGCACCCCAGCCTGAGCGACAAAGCAAAAAAACAAAACAAAACAACAACAAAAAAGAACCACATGGCTGTGAAGGAGAAAAGACTGGAAAGAAGACGACAGCCCGGGAACCCCCTACCCAACTTCTCCAGGCTGGAAGATGCTTCAACCTGGAACAATCATGGGGGACACCAGCAGCCCCCCAAGACACAGGCATCTCTATACACAAAGGGAAGTGGCAGAGTTATAGCCAAAGACGGTTGAATGCAGTGGCTACAAGGCACTGCATTGTGACAGCAATGCTGTTATATTTAGTGTTTCCTTTCAACAGCAGGCCAGGAAAGGTGGCTCACGTCTGTAATCCCAGCACTTTGGGAGGCTAAGGCTGGAGGATCGCTTGAGTCCAGGAGTTCAAGACCAGTCTGGGCAACATAGTGAGACTTTGCCTTTACGAAAGATTTTAAAAATTAGCCAGGCTTGGTGGCACAGGCCTGTAGTCCCAGCACTTTGGGAGGCTGAGGTGGTCGGATCACTTGACGCCAGGAGTTTGAGACCAGCTTGGCCACCATGGCAAAACTTCGTCTCTACAAAAAATACAAAGCCAGGCGTGGTGGCACATGCCTGTATTCCCAGCTACTAGGGAGGCTGAGGCATGAGAATCTCTTGAACCCTGGAATGTGGAGGTTGCATTCAGCTGAGATCGCATCACTGCACTGTAGCCTGGATGACAGAGGGAGACTCTTTCTCAACAAAAAAAAAAAGAAAGAAAATTCTAGGTTTGCAAGTAATTCTCCAGAAAAGGCAGCAGTGTCCAGTTTTTTGTTGTTTTTTTTTTTTTTGAGACGGAGTTTCGCTCTTGTTACCCAGGCTGGAGTGCAATGGCGCGATCTCAGCTCACCGCAACCTCCGCCTCCTGGGTTCAGGCAATTCTCCTGCCTCAGCCTCCCGAGTAGCTGGGATTACAGGTGTGTGCCACCATGCCCAGCTAATGTTTTGTATTTTTAGTAGAGATGGGGTTTCATCATGTTGACCAGGATGGTCTCGATCTCTTGACCTCGTGATCCACCCACCTCGGCTTCCCAAAGTGCTGGGATTACAGGCATGAGCCACCGCGCCCAGCAAGTGTCCAGTTTAAAGACGCTTTGGCTCACTGATATCACTACCTTAGCCAGCAGTCAGGGAAAAGCCAATTGAAAGAATGCAGGGATATCACATTGCACCTAGCAGATTGGAAAAATGTATTTTTTTTTTTGAGTTGGAGTCTCACTCTGTCGCCCAGGCTGGAGTGCAACGGTACGATCTCAGTTCACTGCAACCTCTGCCTCCCTGGTTCAAGCAATTTTCCTGCCTCAGAAGTTTTTACTTGTTAGAGATAAAGCCCCAGGAATGGGGTTTTATCCCAAGCACCTGCCACCACACCCAGCTAATTATTTCATATTAGTTAGTAGAGTCAGGGTTTCGCCATGTTGGCCAGGCTGGTCTTGAACTCCTGACCTCATGATCTGCCTGCCTCGGCCTCCCAAAGTGTTGAGATTACAGGTGTGACACACCATACCCAGCCTGAAAACATCTTTTTAAGGCCATAATAGCTAACACCAACTGCAGGTAAAGATGTAGAAAAAAGGGCCTTTTCCTACAAGACTGGTAGAAATTCAAGCCCTGTAATGGCCCTTCCAGAAACTACTTTAGCGATACCTAATAAAATCAGGCTGGGTACGGTGGCTCACACCTGAAATCTCGGCACTTTGGGAGGCCTAGGTAGGAGGATTGCTTCAGCTCCAGAATTCGAGACCAGCCTGGGCAACATAGTGAGACCTCATCTCTATGAAAAATTTAAAGAAAAACAGGTGTGAGGTGCGTGCCTATAGTGCCAGCTACTTGGGAGGCTGAGGTGGGAGAACCGCTTGAACTCAGGAGGTGGAGGCTGCAGTGAGCTCTGATTTTACCACTGTGCACCAACTCGGGCGACAGAGCAAGACCCTGTTTCGAATGAATGAATGAATGAATGAATGAATGAATGAATGAATGCATGCATGCACAAACCTTTTGACTCAGTAACCCCATTCCTGGGCTTTATCTCTAACAAGCAAAAACTTTTGGACACGAATCCGGCACAATGGCTCATGCCTGTAATCCCAGCACTTTGGGAGGCCAAGGTGGGCGGATCACAAGGTCAGGAGTTTGAGACCAGCCTGACCGATATGGTGAAACCCCGTCTCTACTAAAAATACAAAAAATTAGTCGGGAGCCCAGCTACTCAGGAGGCTGTGGCAGGAGAATCATTTGAACCC